TTTTTTATGCTCAAACAGCAACATTACAGACTAACTAAAGTTGAAAAAGTGAAAAAGCATAATAGGACCACTTTAATAGATACTACAAATGGTCTTTCACTAAGATATGATAAAAAACCATTTAAAACGGTTCTAGATACACCAACATAGTCACTTAATCTATTTAAAAGAATCTGGTTATCTATTGTGTCAAACGCAGCACTCAAGTCAAGAAGCACCAAAACTGAAGGCCAATTTCTGTCAAGGTTTATGCTTATGTCATTTACAACTTTAATAAGAGCGGCCTCTGTACTATAGTATTTTCTAAAACCAGACTGAAACATCTCTAGTTTCGAATTTGCATTTAAGAATGTACTCAACTGATTAAACACTATTTTCTGTAATATTTTACTTAAAAATGTAAGATTTGAGATGGGTCTATAATTACTAGGAGTTAAAATATCTGAGCTCCCTTTTTTATACACAGGTTTTACTAGGGCAGGTTTAAGATCAGGAGGGAAAATGCCAAGATGCAGGGAGTGATTTACTATCTCAAGGATATCAGTAGATATGGAGTCAAAAAATACTTTTAAAAAGAGAGGTAGGAATTAGATCAAAGGAACAAGTAAATGGTCTCAGTTCTGTTTCAGCCTTTCTTAGTGTCTCACTCTCAACATCAACCAAAGTAAAACTTTCCATTTTAACAGTATTCTCTACACCTAATAATAGAGGAAGCATAACTGACCGATTATCATTTATTAAACAGATTCCTGATCTAATGTTTATAACTTTATCTTTGAAGTAGCAAGCAAACTCTTCACATTTCGAACTTGGTAACTCAGAACTATAATCAATTGTATGATTTATTAGTGAATCTATTGTATTAAATAATATTCGGGGGTTATTAATGTTTGCATTTATAGGGTTTGAGAAATAAGTTTGTCGTGTTCTATGAATTTCTTTATTGTAAATTAAGATTTCCAATGAGTTTATTTTAAGTGTATTTCTAGTTTAGTTTTACGCCATCTTTGTTCAGCACTTCTACAGTCTCTTTTAAGTTTCATGGTCTGATTTGTCTTCCAAGGAATTTTCTTTTTTGTAGCTAACATTTTAGTTTTAAGTGGAGCAACTGTAGCAAGAGCTGTTCTCATTCTATTATTAAACTCATTAACTAAATCTTCACAGGACGATGGTAAAATGTTCCTTTCATAAGTCTTATAATGCATTGTGAGATTTTCAGCCACTTCAGAGGTAATATTACGTTTTTTAACAATGCGTTCAGTTGCATTTGGCACAGAATGATCAATACTCTAAAAAAAGACACAAAAGTGACCAGATAATGCAAGATCAATGACAGATGTTATATTGATATTTAATCCATGTTATGACTAAATCTAATGTGTGACCACGTTTATGTGTGGGTACGTTTATATGCTGTTTAAAAAACATGTATTCTAACAGTTCCAACAATTCTTTAGCTCTAATGTCTGATGAATTGTCAACATGTATGTTAAAATCCCCAGTTAAAACAGTTTTCATAACTCATATGAATGACAGACAGCATGTCAGAGAAATCCTTTATGAAACGGGGGATGGGTAATTTTGGTGATGTGTATAATGTCACTGCAAGAAGACGAGGTTGAGAGTTTAGCAAAATAGCATTATATTCAAAGGTATTAAATGTACCAAGGTCAATGTCCCTTCCCTTGAGGGTTTCTCTGTAAATTGCTGCTGACCCTCCACCCTTTATTTCTTTTCTAGTTGAAAATGAATAGGTATAGTTGGGTGGGCATATCTCAATCAGTGTGGCAGGTGCATCTGTGCCCAGCCAGGTCTCAGTAAGGAAAACACAGTCCGAGTTAAAATCACTGATAAGATCATTAATACAAAAGGATTTATTTGTTAATGCACTTACATTAAAGAGAGCCATGTTAATTTCTGTTGATTTTGTTACCATAGATGTTGAAGTACTAGATGTGGGAATTTTCAATAAATTATGCATATTTATTCCCACTGTGTTTTTCTTACCAATATAGTGACAAACTGAAACAATAGGTTTTAAGAAAAATACAGTTGTACATTGGGTAGTTAGTCAAGATAAAATATGTTGTTCAATATGATGTGCAAGCATCTGGGAGCCCCTTTGATTTGGGTGCAAGCCATCTCACCTAAAAAGCGCTGGACGGCCCCAAAACAGATCAAAATTGTCTATAAAGATGACATTGTATTTGTCACATGTAGATTTAAATCACCTCATTTTTTGTATCTCTCTCTCACATCACTCACCTCTGAAACCTGCTCAGCGGTCAATATCTGCTGAGCCAGCACCTCCACATTAGTTGTCATGGTGATGTGAAGTCATTAGAAGTGTCTGATTGGACAAAGGCCAGCTCTGCATCTGCCAACAACACCTCCACCTATGTGCCAATCAAATACAGATATTAAAGAATAGTCAGTAAATTATGCAAGCACAAAATAATATTATATGCAACACCTGAAGTTTTTCCTTTAGACAGACACTTCATATCTGCAGCTTTTGGAAGATTTCATAGTTGGTTTGATCTAGGCATTAACAAAATTCAAATAGTTTACATCTTTAACTCCACTCCAGCAAAGCTATGATCACCGTCCACTCTTGAATGTTGAGAATGTTGGCACTTCTTTACAATTATAATTCAAATCCGTTAAAGGAATGTTAGGCTGCATTATAGGTCAACTGGAACCGGGAACACTTCCCATAACGCCCGATGTACTCGCTACATCGTAAGAAGAATGGCATCTACGCTAATATTAGTCTCTTTCATTCTTATTCCGAGGTCACGGTAGCCATACGGATCCAGTTTGTATCCAGATCAGATGGTGGATCAGCGATCCACTCAATCTGACGTGCGTTGCAGTTTGGAATTACACCATGCTGGTTTCATCTGTCTAGATGAGAACTGCCCCTCCGACTGAGCCTGGTTTCTCCCAAGTGTTTTTTTTCTCCATTTCGGTCAAAGATGGAGTTTTGGTTCCTTGCCACTGTCGCCTTTGGCTTGCTTAGTTGGGGATACAATTTCTGGCAACATTGTTGACTTGACTGCACAGACACTATTGGAAGAGAGCTTAACTGAGCTGGATGATGACATCGCTGAATCAACAATGAACTGACTTTAAAGGTGCAGTGACTGGTGCACTAAGCGAATTTTGCCAAACGATATTGATAATTGAACAAACACGCCCCTACCCAACAGGACCTCACCATAGACTGTAAAAATACATGGACGTAGTGTCCGTGACGTCACTCGTAGTTTTCTGAAGAGCATTTTTGAAGCCTAAAGTGGGCGCGGATAATCGAAAATGGGCAAAAAGGCAGGACGTCGGTGAAGCTGAGGTGCCTGGTTGCGGAAACCACACCCGTCTATAGTGACAGCAGTGCTGCCGTGCAAAGACAAAACACCATAACTTCGTTTTTGGTCAAAAATGAGTTATTGATCATTTTGGGACATATATGACCTCCTTTATCATGTGTATAAGTATCTTGGAGAAAAGCCCCGGAGAAACCAAGGCAGAACACAGTATCATCAGTTATCGCTCTTTTACTTTGTTTTGGAAAGCTCAAATTAAGTTAAGGTGCCCTGCATTTGTTTAGCCTTTCGTCAATATTACTGTGCCAGCCTGGAGTTATACGGTATTCTGCCGTTTTACTGTCCATTAAAGTCTGCCGTGTTTAAATTACGGTGTAACTTGTGTACTTTCATACAACTGTGGGCACTTCATTAGACAAACAAATTAGTTAGATCGCGATCTAACAAACTGCTCCATATAACAAAGCACTGTAAACAAGCAACGGATAGATAACTTGGCAACAATAATTAATCGTAAATAATCTTTTAAGTTTTTTTTTCTTTTTATAATGCAGATGCCAGCTGTCAGTCTGGGGCTGCCCACTTCTGCAAGTGTGAGGAGTTGAATGCCATGACAGCGCATCACATAAAATCAGTAACTGTTCGCAATTAAATTCCTACCTTTTCTTGTAACTCGATAAAAACCATTGCAATGAACGTCATCGGAGATGTTTAATTCACAATCATTCTGAGCATTATCCCTGCTGGCGTTCACATCAATCCACAAGTCGTTCTTATAGGTTAAGCTATTTTCATTAAGTTTGATGTAAAAACAATAGGCTAAGTATGCCTTGCATCCTTTAAAGTGCCCATATTGTGCCATTTTTAAGGTTCCTAATATTGTTTTGAGAGTCTCCTACAATAGGATTGCATGCATGCAAGGTCAAAAAACGCTTTAGTTTTCTCAAAATATGCATTTAATATCACCTCATTTTCCAGCAATTCTTAAATGCGTCGTTCGAAGCAGTTCGAAGATTCAGTCTCTCTAAACCCCTCCAAGCAAAGCGCACGACACTGACAAGGTACGCGATACAGTACGAGACCAAACGCGATTTCAGCACGTCTCCACACAGTAAACAAAACAAGCGTTTCCTAGCAACAACTGCGCTAAACACTGAGACAATAAATAAATACACTTATGAGCTGCTTTTAAGCTTCTGCTGATTGACTGCTTCTCTCAAAGAGTATTTCTTTACCAGGGATGCGCCGATCCGATATTCATATCGGGTATGGGCTCCGATAGTGCCATTTTTCTCGGATTGGGTATCGGTCAGAGAGAGCCGATCCAAATCCGATAATTTTTTTTTTCTCGATTGTGCGAATTATTCTGTGTTACTTCTGAAGCCATACGATAGCTTAATGTGAGCTACATATGAATATTGAGCTGCTTTTAGCTTCTGTTGATTGACTGCTTCTCTCAAAGAATATTTCTTTACACTGTGTTTTGCTGGCGCTTGAACACACTTTCCTGTTTATCACAACAAATGGCCAAGCAAAGCGGATGACACTGACAAGGTACGCGATACAATACGAGACCAAACGCGATTTACACAACATAATGTTCTTTTTAACAACGTCATATGACCCCTTTAAGATCAATCGATAAATTAGTCAATAGAATAATCAAAATAAAAATAGTCGTTAGTGGCAGCCCTACAGGATACTGATCCATCTGTCAACAGCAAGCATTTTGTGAATCCCGCATTGAACTCCCTGAGATTAGAGAAGTAGTCGTCAGTAGAATGACGTGTTTGTGGGCGGGGTCAAGTTGTTCGCAGCTGGCCAACGGAGAACATAGTCGCGCATTATGCAAATGTGTTACCCCGTGACGTGTAGCCGTCATGGAAGTGGGATTCGAATTACTAATGACTCATTTCAGTTGTTCAGAATTAGTGGTCGACCGATATATCGGCCGATATCTGCCGCAAAAGGGGGCGCTCGCGAGCACCCTTCTGAACGCTAAAATTACAAATGGGACACACTACGGTCTCGTGGACTTAACGGACACGCGAACCATTGTAAGTCCGTAAGACCGCAAGTGCACATGAAGTGTTCCATTTGGGACAGGGCCAGCAACGTCATATGACCCCTTAAATACGGACAGGAGGAGAGTTCAGCTTCACTGGAGACGCATGATCGACAAACTTGTGACTGATTTCAAATTATGCTGCGCTTTATGCATTTGCCCACTGTCATATTCAGCGTTTGGTATCGGGGCATTTTAAGAAGTACGAGTACAGGAGCTCAGTATCGGGCCCGATACCAGTATCGGTATCGGTGCATCCCTAAAAAAAAACATTTAAAAAAGCATTATGCAAATGTATTACCCCGTGATGTGTAGCCGTCGGAAGTGGGATTCGAATTACTAACGACTCGTTTCAGTTGTTCAGAGTCGATAAATCACATTACATATAGCCTAGCCAATGATCACTAGATTTAATACAGGTGTTACTATAATGATTCTGTAAATGGTGATCAGCACCCAAATATTGTATATAATGTGGAAGCTACTGCCTTTTGCCTTGGTTACTGCCTTTTGCCTTGGCGTGACATCTCACTTTTTGCAGACAGTGCAAAGGCAGAGTACCTTCAATAACTTCAAAATAGCGGTAAAAATCCCTGCCTACCCATAATTATTTTTTCTGGACAAATAAAAATCTTTAAAGCCATTTTTCTAAGTTTCAGTCTAGTGAGTTACTCAAGTTGCCACGCCCTTAATTATGCAGAACTTTAAGGCTTAATATAATTTAAACGGATGAGTTATAAAAAAACAATTCACCCCCCTCACAGTTGTCGTGAAGAGCAAAATTACCTATATAGACCAAAACCACTTTTTGTACCAGGCTGTAAACATTTTTTTCTGCTGTAAAGTTGGGCATTTTAACATGGCAGGTGTATGGGACTGACTCCCTTTTTGAGCCAGTCTCTAGCGGCCAGTCGATGAATTGCAGTTTTAGTCACTTCCGTGTTAGTTTCAAGCGAGAGACCGGGAGGTTGCCGCTTGGACCTCACCCATATTTTGATAACTCCGCCCCACACATATGTACACAACCTTGGCAGCGACGATGGCAGAATCTGCTATGCCTGTCGGTCGAGGGTATGATGTCATCAATAAGTGAAAGCAATGTGTGTTACTACGGTTAATTCAGGTTGAATGTGTGTGTTGAATGGTTTAGCTCAATTTCACGTGGAAGACGACGTTATATTGCTGTATTATATTTTGGAAGTAACTTGCCCAACACTGCCTATTTAGTATGTAAACATGCTTTTGTAGGCTACTTAACGCGCTTTCCGAGAAAAAAAAAAGAAAATATCACTCTTCACATTAACAAATATGTGCTTGGCCCGAGCTCAGGCTGAACGACACGGATTGTACGGACGATTTTAATTAACCAGTGTATCTATATTTGGTTGACTATTTTATTCTGATAATGAACGGCTGTAATGTTTGCAATGCTGTATGTGTGAGGCGCCGGCGCAATCGAACAGCGGAAACATAAAATAATCCTTTTTCTTTATAAAAGTTATAAAACATAAAAGTTCCTTTCCGTGAACTTTTGCAGAGCGCAGCGCCACAAAAATGAACCAAACTCAGCAGCATATTTTACATTATTGTCTTTTTTCTTTCGTTTTGTTAATCTGTTAATTATTTGAGTCAAATATATTTCGCGTATTAATTCATTTTATATGTAGACTATGATTTAATAAAAACAAATTGTTATTTGTAGATAAACGTAATTTCTGTTGCTTGTCTGCGCTTATCCGCCGCATTCTTTCTCTTCTCCGACCCCGCAGTATGCCCATCTCACAAATGTAGAATCCGTCTCAGTCATCTCAACCATCGAATTACAGCAACAGGAAATAGACAAAGTATTTTACCCACGGAATTTATTGTCTGGTGCTGTTTTGCAGTGGTTCTGATTTTTAGTTAAAATATGTTGTTGTAACGTGCATTACTGAGATTGTAACAAGTAATAATATTACCCAAATTTGATTAATAATGCGTTATATTACTGCGTTACAGCAAAAAGTAATACACTACTGTAATATTGTTACTTTTGTAATGCGTTACTCCCAACACTGTAAATAGGCTAATAGTTTAGCATTCAAATCAAGCGGCAACCTCCCGCTCTCTCTCGTGAAGCCAACACGTGAACCACTTAATTTTGAGTTAAAATATGTTGTTGTAACGTGTGTTACTGAGATTGTAACGAGTAATAATATTACCCAAATTTTAGTAGTAATGCGTTATATTACTGCGTTACAGCAAAAAGTAATACACTACTGTAATATTGTTACTTTTGTAATGCGTTACTCCCAACACTGTAAATAGGCTAATAGTTTAGCATTCAAATCAAGCGGCAACCTCCCGCTCTCTCTCGTGAAGCCAACAAAGTAATATAATGTATTATATTTTGGAAGTAACTTGCCAAACACTGTTAACATGTAATGTATATAAGCTGATTAATATAACAATTTACTATAAAATGCCCTTGACGCTATACATTTTATGTCTTTTCCAGACAACCACAATTTTACAATTTCCTGTTATTTCCAGGTTTTCCGTAGAAATCACTTAATAATTTTACATTCTTCCCCAATAATCAATATTTGTGAATTAATTTGTGCATTTCAGATATGTATTAATATTTGGCCATATACATTTAAAAAAAGTTGTGTTTTATTGCCTTCTGAGTCCATTTATGTACTAATAAATAAAGTATACTTGTTTTACTAGCATTTATGTAATCAACAAATCCATAAAAATGTCACTGTATAGATAGATTTGTAGTTGTCTCAGAATTCAGATGAAGCAGTACAGACTTTTATTGATTGGCTGGCATTGCTGTCTGTCATCCTTCAGCGACTCGCTGGTTGGTTACCGGTGAGGTTAATAAAGCGCCTCAGAGTGGAGCTCTCCCGGAAGTCGTGTTCAAAACACGGAACAAAATGGAGACCTTGGCGCAAGGCCAAGAAAAAAACAAACACCCGAAGCCTTTGTTAAACGTCTGTTAAAATAATTAGCATTGAAAACATTTGTGTTTCCTCATGAGAGTAATATTCAGGTCAAGTTAGGCGACAGCTCAAAAGTATCCACTAAAATGTATGAATATCCTCCCACTGAAGAGACCCGCGGTGGCAAAGGTAAAAGGGTCGAGTTCATATGTTAGCTCTCGGGCTAACCAGCTAATTTTCAAAACATGGATACCGATGTATACATCACATCACAATTATTGACTCGGTTACATTTATACACATATACAACCGTTACTTTAGAATAACGTGAAATATGCCAGGCATTTTAAACCATACTCTATTCGGTCAGACTTTTGTCGTTAACGTTAGATAAAAACACACGCTTGATTGTTTACATCACAGATGAGCTCTGAGAACAGCTATCGGCCTGCATCTCTGCACTCCTCACGCAAACGGATTTTTTGACCAACCATTGTGCGACATGCAGAAATTAAAATCTGCTCACCTGTGATACGGACGGGCGTAAGTTTTTTGATCTCGGGTTTATTACACATTATTTGTTATTGTTTAACTCCAGTGAAAGGTCATAGTTCGTGACCCCGTTTGCAAGCGTGCGAGAGTTTCCTTCCTCTCGGGCTCGTTCACAGTTGCGCGGACACGAGCGTCTGGAGCCAGGCGTCGCTGACGTCATCATTCTAGTAAGACACAAGTGGGCTTGTAAACCTTCATAGACATTAATTGTCATTGCTTTCAAAATAACGTTGTGTATAAAATCTTGTGTATAAAGATCACTGATAACTGATACCTAATTGATAGCTTAGGTATTCAAGAAAAACATATTAAACATCAGATAATAATGCTACTTTAAGATTAGTTTTATATGGTTATTCTGTGACTGCATTTCTATCTTAATGAATAATTGTATTTCAGATAGGTGGTAGAAAGTGATAAACATTATATTAAAAAATTGTTAAGATTTTGTCTACAACACTAATTGTAGTCATGCAGAATTTAATCAGTAAAGGCTTTAGATTTGTACAGCATCCAAATGAGAATGATTTGCACATGGCTGCATGCAAGGGATTGGTTTAGAACATTTAATTTAAGCAAGTCAGTGGTTCTGGTGAAGTATCTTGTTTTGCATCCACTATGCACTTCTGGGATAGAATTAAACCACATGGTTCAGATCAGATGCAGTGCAAAGAATTCAGTAAATTTTCACAGAAAAGGCACAAGTGTTTTTGTTCCCTCTTTTACAAAGGAAAGTACTGTTTATATACCAGGTTTAACTTTTTTCTTCTTCTTGTATGTGTTTGGTCTGCTGTAGCATTTATTTGTTTTTAATGGTATATCCTGTAGTTCTTATGTAAAGGTTGAAGACAACGTTTTTTGTGTTTTCATGAAAAAAGTACAATTATAACACTAAACCTTGGTATTAAATAAAATAAAATAAAATAAAATGTGTGTGTTTTTTTCTTCTTCCCAATATATTTTGATATTGTGGGGTCATTAAAAGCAAATATTGAGAAATATCCTCTGTGGAGTGTGGACATCACTTTTGGCCACCACTATATATAGCCAGATGCCCCGCTCATTCTGGTGGGCTTTGGCAGGATTGGCGGGCTTCGTCACCATAGGCTCGTTCAGCTCCGCTGCCTAACCATTGGTTCGTTTTTAATACACTGCACGAACCAATGGCCGTGCAGTTTCACTGCGTGAATGAAAAAAGACTTCAGTTCAGGAGAAAAAAGGCTCGTTCCCATATTTATTTAGTCATTTAGCAGAGCTTTTATCCAAAGCGACTTACAAATGAGGACAACAGAAGCAATCAAATCTCAGGGAACCGAGGTTACGTTAGTAACCGAGTACGTCTTTCTTCTGTTGAGCATGAAAGAAAATTGAAGAATGTTGGTAAGCAAACAGCTGATGGTAGCTATTGACTTACATAGTATTTTTTTCTATGTTACATAAGTAGCTACCATCAACTCATACAGAAAGAAACGTAAATCCCATAAGGCAACTCAATAAACATTATGACATGCAATAGAATATTTGAAATGAGAAAAAAACAAGAACATTTAAAAATCTGTCAGCATAAACATGATACAGTGAACACAATCTAGTTAAAATGTATAATTAAATTTCAGATAAATTGTTGCAGAGATATCTAACAGAACAATCAATACAGTGAATGTGAAAACATCTAGTTAAAATTAATAATTAAGTTTCAGATAAAATAATACAAAGTATAGTGTTATAAATGTACAGAATTTTTATTTATTTTACTTTTTTTTTATGATGCTTGAAACGCCATTGACAATTGAAACAGTCTGTGAATAGAGTGAGTCCATTATAACTTTGTGGTAAATTCATAAATAATAATAATAATACAGTTTTTCACATTTGCTAAGACACTAAACCCCATTCTCTGAACCAAATTCTCAATAGTCTAAACCAGGGGTGCCCAACCCTGCTCCTCGCCAGGAGCAGGGTTGGGCACCCCTGGTCTAAACCAATTTGTCAAATAAATCACTCTTTCTGCAAACTTTTGAACAAGTTCAGGCAGTACAGTTTGCAGATCTCATGCACTCTTTTTGCAAAACTCTAAACACATTCTCACTCACTAAAACGCAATTTGCACTGTGCTAAACTTGTGATGTAAAACCCTAATCACAAGAAAGCAAAAGTTAAGCACAACTGCAACACGGTTGTCATCATTTACACACCATAATTCAAAACTGTTCACATTTGTATCTAAATATGTGAAAGTACAAAATATAAGCCAGTTCAAAGTCCACAGATCGCCACTCTTTTTGCAAAACTCTAAACACATTCTCACTCACTAAAACGCAATTTGCACCATGATAAACTTGTGATGCAAAACCCTAAACACAAGAAAGCAAATGTTAAGCACAACTGAAACAGGGTTGTTATCGTTTACACACAATAATTCAAAACTGTTCACGTTTGTTTCTAAATATGTGAATGTGCAAAATATAAGCCAGTTCAAAGTGCACAGATGACATGGATGCATCCATCAATCTGAGAGGTACGGAAGAGTGTGTATATGAGATGGAGGAAGAGGAGGACGAGGAAGAGCAAGACCAAGAACAGTCATTTCAGATTAATCAGAAGACATTACTGTGCTAGACCATGTTCTTGTGTGTGGAATGACAGAGGCAGGACAAAGAGTTCATCCTAATTTGAGCAGACTGTCTGTGGCCATCATAATCAGTTGGAAAGTTCAAAAGAACAGCAAAAGAAGAGAATCTTGTGTAGAATTGCAAGAATACCACGTTAGGGTGGAAGAACTTGCCTGTGGTGACATACTGTAAACGTGCTGTCTTGTCAAGACTGGATCCGTCACACCAGAGGTTTTTTTTACCCATTGCCTGCCTGCAACATAGATGAAGATGAACATCCTCTGATTCATATGTATGTATGCATGTGTATATATTGTGTGTGTGTATATA